TTTTTTTTTTTTTTTTAATTGAAAACAATAAATAAAGAAGAATAAGAAAGGGAAAAGGGAAGTCAAAATATGTGAGAATATATATACATACAATATCTTATAGTCAAAACAACAATACCTAAATAAATATTAAAATAACCATTAAAACTACACTCATATATACACACACATTAATATAAGATAGAGTCTAGAAGCTAATTTGTTCCAGGAAATTATGATCCAAAAATCTGTGTCGTTGATGCCTGTATTGTAGCAATTTAAAACAAAAACTAAGTGTAGATTTAAACAAAATAAAATTAGGTTCTACAAAACAAATCATATGAAAATCAAATTTAGTAATAATGCCACAAAAAAACTAATTTTGTTTGAAAATTTAATATTGTATATATTTATTTATATAAAATATATGACATATGCATAGTAAAGACGAAGTGGGGAGTGCTTCTCCAATTCTCGTCCTGCCATAACTCAGGGCTGATCCACTCTGTAGGGATTATCATCATCTCTCTAGATAGAGAACTCAAAAATAAAAATAAAATTTTTTTTTAGATTTACAAATAAGTAAATAATTTAGGCCTTGTTCGTTTCGCTGATTCGAGTTTAAAATTCGAGTTGAGATGTGATTTTATGTGAGAGCTTTTTACTGTAGCAAAAAAGTTAGATGTGACTATTTGTGAGAGCTTTTTACTATAGTAAAACTTGAATTCTAAACTCGAATCGGTGAAACGAACGAGTTAGTTTCTTAAAAAATTAACAAAAAAATCCAAAACTCTCTTCAAAGGTGTTTTTGCAATTGCCTTAAATAATTTCATAATAAAATAATAATTTAGGTTTGACAGCTATATGATTTTTTAAGGGAAAAGACTAAAATTCCTCCAAATCTGGCTTTGAATATGAAGCAAATTAGGAAAGCAGTCTAGCAAGCTTTATGTGAAGCAGTCTAGTAAGTAGTCTAGCAATCTGATTGTAAATCTAAAATAATTTCTTAGATTTACAAATAAGTAAATGATTTAGTTTCTTAAAAAATAAAAAATAAATCCAAAACTCTCTTCAACGGTGCTTTTGCAATTGCCTTAAATAATTTCATAATAAAATAATAATTTAAGTTTGACAGCTATATGATATTTTAAGGGAAAAGACTAAATTCCTACAAATCTGGCTTTGAATATGAAGCAAATTAGGAAAGCAGTCTATCAAGCTTTATGTGAAGCAGTCTAGCAAGCAGTCTAGCAATCTGATTGTAAATCTAAATCAATTTTTTAGATTTACAAATAAGTAAATAATTTAGTTTCTTAAAAAATAAAAAATAAATCCAAAATTCTCTTCAAAGGTGTTTTTACAATTGTCTTAAATAATTTCATAATAAAATAATAATTTAAGTTTCACAGCTATATGATATTTTAAGGGAAAAGACTAAATTCCTACAAATCTGGCTTTGAATATGAAGCAAATTAGGAAAGCAGTCTAGCATGCTTTTTATGTGAGAAATTGCAATCAGATGCAACGGAGGAAAAAGTTAAAAGAAAAGAAAATTGATTTTTAGGAAAAGATCTAAATCGGACGAAAAAGGCAACATATAAAAGAAGCTATAGTTGGGAATGGTGATAAAAGAGTTTATTCATTATTTTATTTTATGTGCATATATTATTAAATATTTTATGAATATTATTAAAAATTTTATGATTATTTATGTGACCTTAAATATAATATAAGTGTTATATATGAGAGTATAATATTTAAGGATAATAATCAAAACGATGTTCGTAATGAATTTAATTAAAGTTTAGAATTTTTAATTAAAACATTACTAATACATGTTTTTCTCATTCAGAATGGAATGGTGTTATCCATAGTATTGTTAATATGGTGAAATATTGAATGAGTGTATTACGCATAATGAGATTGTGTAGAACCGGGACACATACATAATATGAATTTCTGATAATTTTTGTTAAGTATAGAAATTCTAATTGAGCCTACTGATGGTCATATATAGAACGATCTTAATCCTGAGGTATTAACAGACTTCTATTTGTGAATTTATGTCTTTTGACTTACTCGGTATGAATTTTGAGATTGCTAAATCTTATTCCTTGTATCTTGAAGACATGATGAAGTGGATAGTTGGGAATATTAATATACGAGATAAAATCCATTATTTCCTGAGAAAGAAGCAGATAAATAATTTTCTTCAGAGTTGATTCGGTACTTAGACTAGTAGAAGCTCTGATTCATGAATTTATTTTATGAATCACTGTCCATTAGATAATCAATGGTACTTAAGGATAAAGATATAATTAGAGAGGTTAACAGATTTTATGTAGCTCTAATTATGAATTATTTATGGAGGATTGATCTATATGTAATGGCGATATCAAATGGACATTTCACAGTTTAAAAGTAAATTATATCTATAATTACGAGATTGTAATTTTAAGTTTTTAGTTGAGTCTCAGAATTATAGGACCATGAGTCCCCCCGTCGTCATTGTAATGCTACAAGATACTAAGGGCAAAATGAGAGTTTTAGAATTATGGAATTCTAAATAGAATGTTCAAGAATAATTAATTGAGAATTAATTATAAATTAAATAATGTGATTATTTAAATTTAAATTTTGGAACACACATGTGGAGGAGTCCACATGGTGTACACACCCAGCATAGTGGGAATCCCTTTGAGATTCAATTGTTTGCTCTCTAAGTCATCCAATTGACTTATTTAATAAAGTTATCCAATTAGAATTCAAATTAAATTAAGTTTGACACCACAAGGAGGAATATTCCTGCGGTTGCCGACCTTATAGGATAAAAGTGATAGGAAATTTTATTTCCAAAATCAATTAGAAGTGAGAGATTATTATTAAGCTTTATTTTGGAGATAAAGTTTAGACTTCCTCTAGGAGTTTGACAGCTACTTTATAAATAGGAGATTGCAGAAAATTGGAGAACACAACTTTTACTCTCCCTAGCATATAGTGACCGGTTTTATAGTGTAAGAAAAAAGAAAATTTTCTCCCAAAATTCACGTCGTACATGTGTTGGTGTTCGTGAAAAACTTAAGTGTTTGAGTGTTAATCCTGTTTTGTTTCAAGTGTGCCCACACACACGTCTTTGTAGATTCAAGAAATTAGTGAGGAAGATTCGTCTAAACAAGCTTGGAGCGAGGAACGTTCGTGGTCAAAGAACTCAAGTTATCAACCTAATCGTTCACTAGGTAAATTTACTCGTAAATTTATTCATAAATTAATTTGATTAATTTATTCATGCATACATTAATGTATTCTATAGAGTATCTCAAAAGTTTCTTAAAAATTTTGTCATACACGATTCACTAGATACACACTTCTGCATAGAAAATCGTTTTCAAACCAACAGCTTTTACCTTGTTGTAATTTCCTAAAAATAACATGTAAACTTTGGATTTAAATCATTTGAGTAATTTTAGTGTTTAAAATAGTGTCTAATTAATTAAATTGTGTGAATTCATGTAAAAAAGTAAAATATCTTTCTAACTAATTTTTTCTTATTTTAATATTTAGGTCTATTAAAATGACGTGTTATTATTTATTTAGTTAGACACTAATTAAAACACCAAAAATTAAATTGGTGATTTGAGTCTATAAGTGTACTATTTTCATTAACAAATTTGAAATTGCCACTTTACATGGTAGAAAAAAAAAAGAAAAAGGAAAAGAAATAAATTAGGAAAAAGGAAAAAAGAAAAAGAAAAAAGAAATAAATTAGGAAAAAAGTTACATGGTAGGAAAAAAAAAATCTATTGTGGAGCGTCCTATTGATGGATTTTTTATTGTCATTTCACCATATTGTCAATAGACAGTATAATATTGTCAATGATAGACTAAAAAAAATCATTCATGGTATTTCTATAACACCCCTATTTTTCCCATAGAAACACAATGGATTTTTAGTTTTCCTTCAATCTTATATTTACCTAAGCGGCTTGAATTAAGCATAAGAGTATACTCATCAACACTACATGATGCAATGGTCAATAGCACTATTATGGAATGTTCAGTATTTCTCTAACATCAGTTTTAATAGAAAAATATTTTATAGTCCTCTGAGGTTATATCCTCACCATCTCACAAAAGGTGACGTCCACAAATGAAATTCACCTTTTATGAGACGGTGAAGATTTTACCCCATATTAGAAAGATTGCTCATTTTAATAAGATTGAGGAGTTTTCTTCCATAACGATACTCTATTAATAGTGCATTTAATTAAATGTTAAATCATATATATTGAAAAAATACTCAATAAACTAAGAAGAATACTGTGAAAGGATATGAAAATGATACTCTATTACTAAGGCAGTTTTTACGGAAAATTTTTAAATATAAAGGAGATTTTCTTTATTCGCTTTGTGCTTTGTGTCACCTAAATTTGTATATTTTTTAATTTTTATGTGATTTTATATAAATTTAACAATTAAAAATTTTAATTTATATTGACACTGAAAAATATCTAAATATAATCCACTTTTTTTTTTCTTTCTTTTTGCCCAGAAATCTCCCCCAACCCAACATGTTCTAAATGAAAAGGGGAGGAGGAGGATGAATGATGAACGACGCTCAATGAAGAATCATTGAATTCCCACCAATAAAGTTCTGATAAATTCACCAACCAACCCAAACACAAACAGATATTTCTAATTAAAATCCTCACTCATTTATGAACACCACCTCTCTCTCTCTCTCTCTCTCTCTCTCTCTCTCTAAAAGTCTCAGTGACCACCACCGGTCCCTCTATTCCATTACTATACTTACTGCCCTTCAACTTATCTTCCCAATATAAAACCCACCTTTCTAGTTTTTATATGTTTTGTTTCTTTCTCCTCCTCCTTTCTCACAACCAAAAACACCCTCCTTGGTTTCATTAAAAAAATTCACATGCAACTCTTTCTCTTCTTTTGAAAAAAATAAATAAAAAACATGCAGTAAATATTAGACAAAAAAAAAAGTGCTTCCCACCTTGGTTTTTTTTGTTGTTGTTGTTGTTTGTTTGTGTTGGTTTTTGTTTCAAAAGAACTGCAAACCAGACAAGTTGAGATCACATTCTTTCTTAAGTCCCAGAGTCTCCATACTCCTCAAAAAACTCTTCTTTTTCATCCGGACAATATTGGTTGCGTGAATTTGTTATTGCCTTATTTTTTTTAGAGCGAGTTTTCTTGGGCAATAGAGGACCACTTCTTTGTGAGTTCTAAAAGCAAACATCTTTGTGAAACACTAAACCCAGTTTAATGGTGATTCAGAAGAAAAGGAAGTATTTTTCTGAGAGAGAACCAGAACCATTTATGGTAAAGTGTTGGTGTTATTTCTGTTGAGGAAATCTCTGAGAGAGGGTTGTGTTAACTATTCGTCTCACTCTTTTTTCCAAAATGGGTTCTGGTTTCTTTGGTCTAATACTCGTTCTGGGACTGTTTTTGAAGCCTTTGTCTTGCCAACAACAGCAACAGGAGCAGCTACAAAATCCCAATTCAGATGGGTATTTTATCTCTGAGTTCTACAAGGGGATGGGATTAACTTCCTCATTGTCTCAAATCTATAACTTCTCTCTGCCTGTTTGTTCATGGCAAGGAGTTTTTTGTGATGCTAAAAAGGAATATGTTGTTGAGTTGTTAGCTTCTGGTTTGGGCCTTTCTGGTTCAATCCCAGAAACCACTATTGGGAAGCTAACCAGGCTTCAAACTTTGGATCTTAGCAACAACAAAATCACTGCCTTGCCTGCAGATTTGTGGAGCTTAGGCTCACTAAAGAGCCTTAATCTCTCTTCCAACCAGATTTCTGGTTCCTTGCCAAACAACATTGGCAATTTCGGGTCCTTGGAAAGCCTTGACATTTCCAGCAATGACTTATCTGGCGAAATTCCTGAAACTACAGGTTCTCTTGTCAGTTTAAAGTTCCTTAAACTCGGCAGGAACCGGTTCGAGCAGAGCATTCCATCCGGGATTCTAAATTGCCAATCACTGGTTTCGATCGATCTTTCATCGAATCGGCTAACCGGTTCTCTTCCAGATGGTTTTGGCTCTGCATTTCCCAATCTCAAGACTTTGAATCTTGCAGGCAATGAGATTCGTGGCCGGGACTCGGACTTTCTGGAGCTGAAATCCGTCACAACTCTCAACATTTCGGGGAACTTGTTTCACGGTTCGGTTATGGGAGTGTTTAAGGAGGTTTTGGAAGTGGTAGACTTGAGCAGAAACCAGTTCCAAGGTCACCTTTCTCAGGTACACTTCAACACTAGCTATAGGTGGCCTCATTTGGTTTATCTAGACTTGTCAGAGAATGAGCTTAGTGGAGAAATTTCACATGCATTGAACTTGGCCCAGAATCTCAAACACCTTAATCTAGCTTGCAACAGATTCGCTAGGCAGGAATTCCCAAAGATTGTAATGTTATTGGATTTAGAATACCTTAATTTGTCTAGAACTAGTCTCACTGGTCAAGTTCCTGCTGATATCTTACAATTAAGTTACTTGCATACACTTGATCTTTCTGAGAACCATCTTGTTGGCCATATCCCATCACTGAGGGTGAAAAATCTCCAAGTCCTTGATGTCTCACTCAACAACTTAACCGGAGAAATCCCAGTTATGATTTTAGACAAAATCCCCTACATGGAAAGGTTCAACTTTTCTTACAATAACTTGACCTTTTGTGCAACTTCTAAAATTGCCCCTGAAAACCTCAGAACGGCTTTTGTTGGGTCATTAAACAGTTGTCCCATTGCTGCGAACCCGGTTCTTTTCAAAAGACAAGCTCCCGGGCACAAGGGTCTCAAGCTTGCTCTAGCTTTGGCCCTCTCAATGGTGTGCGTGCTTGCTGGATTGCTTTTCCTGGCATTTGGTTGCAGAAGGAAAAACAGGTTGTGGGCCGTAAAGCAGAATTCGTATAAAGAAGAACAAAATATTTCTGGCCCCTTTTCGTTCCAGACCGATTCTACCACATGGGTTGCTGATGTTAAGCAAGCAAACTCAGTCCCAGTAGTGATTTTTGAGAAGCCATTGTTGAATATCACATTTGCAGACCTCTTGTCTGCAACCTCAAACTTCGACCGAGGCACCCTTTTGGCGGAAGGTAAATTTGGGCCTGTTTACAGGGGATTCCTACCTGGTGGAATTCATGTAGCAGTGAAAGTTCTTGTCCACGGCTCTACATTGACAGACCAAGAAGCTGCAAGGGAGCTCGAGTATCTTGGTCGAATCAAACACCCGAATCTTGTGCCACTGACTGGATACTGCTTAGCTGGGGACCAAAGACTTGCTATTTATGACTACATGGAGAATGGGAACTTGCAGAATTTACTCCATGACTTGCCACTTGGAGTTCAGACAACCGAAGATTGGAGCACAGATACATGGGAGGAAGATGACAATAATGGGATTCAAAATGTTGGTTCTGAAGGGCTGCCAACGTCGTGGAGATTCCGTCACAAGATTGCACTTGGCACTGCACGAGCGCTGGCGTTTCTTCACCATGGTTGCTTCCCATCAATAATTCACAGAGATGTAAAAGCTAGTAGTGTTTATCTGGATTACAACTTGGAGCCCAGATTGTCTGATTTTGGATTGGCTAAGATTTTCGGACATTGTTTGGATGAGGAGATTGTTCGTGGATCCCCGGGGTACATGCCTCCAGAGTTAACAAAGCCAGAAGTCGAATCACCAACCGCAAAATCCGATGTGTATTGCTTCGGAATTGTTCTTTTCGAGTTGATTACTGGGAAAAAGCCGATTGAAGATGATTATCCTGAAGAGAAAGAAGCAACTCTGGTTGGTTGGGTTAGAGAGTTGGTCAGAAAGAACAAAGCTTCAAGAGCCATTGATCCGAAAATTCGTGACTCTGGACCGGAAGACCAAATGGTGGAGGCCCTAAAGATTGGCTATCTGTGCACAGCTGACCTTCCTTCAAAGAGACCTAGCATGCAGCAAATTGTTGGACTTCTTAAAGATATTGACCCAACTGCTAGTCAGTGAGGAACAAAATGGTTTAAGGAAAAAGGAAAAAAAAAAAAAAAAAAAAAGATTTGGAGTTTATTTCTTCTTCTTTTCTTTGTTTGTTCTTTCTCTTTGTTAAATTTCGCTCTATGATGATGCCATGGGGAAAATGTATAGTATCCTGGAAACTCTGTTTTGAACATTATGCCTTTCTTCTAGGCCAACGTTTTTGGTGCATAAAAGTTCTAAATTTATATACACAGATTTTTGTTCCTTGAAAGAGTATTTTCCTTGCAATATCTTCTTCTATTCCTAGTATTTATTTTGTTCTAACATTTATATGTTTCGATGCAACAACAAGATGTTATTTGTAATAAGAAGTTTTGTTGGTTGGTTGATTAGTCACATGTTATTCATGAAATGGGTTGGATTGGTACTAGTTTGGAGACAGCAAAACAATTCTATTAGATTTAATAAGTACCTTATGTCAAAATTGAGAAATTTTTATGGTTCGAATTTTTAGTTTTCTATTATTTGTTACCTGTCTCTATCTTAGAAGAAATCTCAAAATTTAGACAGTCAAGTGTTTAGCATAAAATGTTTTGTGTTTCACTATATTATTGCACAAACATAGTTTACTTCAACTAACTTTTGAAATGTCTATAGTGCATTCATGTACCAATTTAGGGTTAATTTGACAGAATTTGGTCTTCGACCTTCAAAACGTTACAAATTACAAATTACACTCCTAAACTATGCTCTTCGTCTTATGTTTGGTTATTTAGTCACAGAAGTTGTTAAGAACTCAACATATTAACTATGCGACAGTTACCCAAAAATTTAAGAATTAAAAAACCAAGAAAAAATAAAGAAAAAAAGTATGTACTCTCAAACGAGTTTATTTGTTACCGAAGCAAGTAAAATTTATTTAAATTCATATTCAATGCAATATTTATCTTTATATACACTTCATTAATAAATTATATGAGGTTTACACGGTTGATTCCATTGAGCTTTTGAGATTTTAGTGATTTAAGGCATAAACATAAGACAATAAATATAGTATGAGGTGCAATTTGTAACGTATTTGAAATTTAAGAGTAAAATGGGACAGAGAACATGGCTGGGAGGCCAAAGGTAAAATAACCTTTATTCTATGAAAGTCTCCGGATAAAAAGCGCTACTTTATTTACTATGAGAGCCATTTTTATTTGAGAGATTTTATATGGGTAGGTTGTGATTTTTTAATTATTAAATTTGTGTATTTTTTAATTTTTATGTAATTTTATACAGATTTAACGAATAAAAAATTTAATTGGGGAAGGCCTTTTTTTATTTTTTATTTTTTATATTTTTGCTGAATTACTTTGAGAGCCAATGAATGTATATCTTTCAACATTAGACAAAACTAAGGCCCTGTTCATTTCGCTGATTTGAGTTTAGAATTCGAGTTTTGCTACAGTAAAAAGCTCTCACAAACAATCACATCTAACTTTTTTGCTACAGTAAAAAGCTCTCACATAAAATCACATCTCAACTCGAATTAAAAACTCGAATCAGTGAACTAAACGGATTTTTTGTGTTAAAAAACAATCACTTCAGTGATTGGTACATGGTATTCTTTCAGAAAAGTTACAAGTTGCTTTCTCTCTCTTTCAGGCAGTAAAAGTTACAAGCCTTTACACTGATTAGATATGATTTTGGCATTTTGGTACGTCTCATGTATGAACCCTTTATAGGGGCTTCACGTTATGCTGTCTTTGTACGTTTGTATATTTAACCTTTTTGGGACTATTTTGTGCGGTGAATGTGTTATAACCCCTAGGCGTGCCTTGACCTTTTAATTGATATCTTGGACCACTTTCTTTACCTTTTTCTCAGCAAATTGCGTGGTCATGATGCATGTAAGAAATAAAACAAGGCATGTAGTTTACACTTTAGAGAGCTTGATTCTCAAGTTAAGAAGCATTGTTCTGCTTCTTAAAGAATTTCTTATTTTGCTTTCACTAAATAAGAAAGTAAGGCTTATAGGGAAATAGAAAATAAGAAGAAAAATAATACACGTAATCTAGGTGAGAAACTGTAAAGGAATATAATAGCAAAGACAATAGAGTTAGAAAGGAAAGTAAAGTAATAGAATTAAGAGTTATTTATTCTCTTTTAAATGTTTACTTAACTATTAAATGGTGTAATGCGAAACAACTTTATTATCTTTCTTATTTTAATTAAAATTAGGAATAATAATGTTATAAATATAACTACTAAAATTTTAGCATATATTTATAAAAGGTAAATACATATATTTAGCATTTATTTCTTTTGAGAGGGAATTAATAATCAATACTAAGGGGTACAAAGATTGATATTCACTTTCCTCATCTTATATTGGGTGGAGCCCACTAAATCTCAATTATAATTTTATAAGTAGATAATGAGAAAGAGAATCACTCATCACTTTTTTTCCCCCTTCAATGCAAAGTAAACATGCCCTAATTGTGGTTGGTACGAGAGACTAAAATTAAGTTTTTTTTTTTTTCCTTAAATGCTTGAAATCTCTGTCCAATTCATTCCTTCCTCTTTTTTTTTTTTTCCTCCTATCAAATTAGCATAAGTCATAAAATCCCTCCACTAATCCCTTCACTTCTCTCACTCCTTTTACCTTTTCCTCTCAACAACAAGCTCTAAAAGTTATTATTTCTATATATATATTTTCGATTGAATGTGCTAATTACTTTCAAAATCTTAACAAATTACTTTTAGTTGCTGCTTTTAAAGATGAGATATCTCAAAATAATATGGCCAAAAATAGATTGTCGTTGCAATTCTCTGATAATTTAAGAATTGCGCTTTACAATACCAAACTAACCCTTACATGCTTGCATAATAACTTTTTGTCCTCTCCACTTGGTTTAAAAACTTCTAGAGTTGTGTTTTGAAGAGTTGCAAAATTCAAACACGAAGTTAACTCAAAGCTATTCCTTAATTGACAATCCCGAAATCATAATCAATAGTCTACTTGTATTTAAGATCTTTTTCTACTATATATATTGCTTATAAAATAAATAATAATAAAAAAAAGATGTTTTCTACTAGTCTTAATAGAGTTATTCACTATTCAATTTGAATTGTCACAACTGTTTAATAAAGCTATTTTTTTTGCAGTATGCTTATAAGATGCATGTGATATTTCTTAATGTCAACTTTTAACCACCATACTACAACATGGTATATATTTAGAAAAAGGACCACCACATATGTGACATAAATTCAAGTTTGGAAATCTGTGCCCGGATTGCCTTGTTGTTACGTTTTGTTTAAGAAAATACTAATAATAATTGCTGGGAAGAGGGACAGAGATTCTTTGCATAATCAAAGAAATCTATGCTTTCATCATTAGTGTTGAGTGCATGGTCATCATATTCTCTCAACTTGGTCTTTGAGAGTTTTAGTCTAGATATAGATTATAACTTGTAACACATGGAAGTTAGCATGCCATCATGTGTGTGTGTGTGTATATATAAATATAAATATATATGTAAGTATTGCAGGAGACAGACATAAATCATAACCATGAAGGGCATGTTTCTTTATTGTTTCCAGGTGTATGATATACTGGCGCCATATTTTTATAATGTATATCATGGTCATGCAAGTAATGATAAAATATTATACGCATATGCATGTTCTATGGTCCAAATATAATTATGGGGTATTCTGTATATATGTGTGTGTATATATATATATATATATATATATTATGCATGTTCAGTGAGGTTCCTAGCACACTACTCTACATATTGATACATGCTAATGGATATAAGAATGGTAAGCTCTGTTGTGTAAAGATGACTGTTTAATCTCAGCCATTAATGGATATGAGATCAACGGGAGTATCATTATAAGCCTATGAATTTGATGATTGAGATTGAATAGTGGCAACAAACCTCGACTATAAACAGAAGATAGTTTTCTCTGTTGAATCTACACTAAATTTGTTTCAAGCTTTGAGTTCAATGGTAGGGTTAAAAAAATTACTCTACCAACAGGGCATATTTCTAAACTATTAGATGCTAATCAAGTTTCTTTATATTATTATTATTATTATTTTTTCTAAATCTAATACGAGCCTTTTAAAACTATAATCTTGTAATGTAATAATTTTTAATACCTATCACAAAGCTCTATTTTTTTTACGACTAGGATATTTTTACGGTAGGCATCCCTATTGTACGCGTTAAAAAATATTCAATCTAATAAAAATTACACTAAAAATATACAAAATTGATAAAATTAGATAAAAATATAATGGTTTAAAATAATGTCCTACTCATAAGTTTTCTTTATATATTTATTTTAGAGAAATTGTAGTAAATAGGCTAACTTAAAAAATCCGTGGAAGTAAATAGGCGTTTATTAAGGATTAGAAATTTATAGCCCATTCATAATTTTAAATTGTTTATTTCCCAGTTTTATCCTTAGTTTTCATTTTTATTTTTTGTTTTTTATTTTCTCATTTTCTTCTTATCTTTCCCCCCTATCTCTCTCCCCGTTACACTTTCTCTCTTTCTGCTCTCTCTCTCTCCGGTTGCACTCCTCCCTATTTCTCTCTTCTGACGGCGGCGTTCGCATCTAACAAAGGAGAGATGCTCGACGGTGTGCAGATCAACGCTTTGGAGAGAGAGAACACGGCAAAAGAGGGAGAGAGTGGCGGAGGGAAGAGAGAGAGGCTTATAGTTTCAGTGAGAGAATGAAAAGAGAGGTCGGTGAGAGAGAGAGAGAGTGAAGAGAGAGAGAGACAAGTATTAAGATTTTGAGTGGAATTTTCATTTAAGGGTATTTTTAGAAATTTATTGTTTATAAATCTAGACTTACTTTAAATTGGCCTATTTATTAACTTTTCTAAAACTTTAACCTATTAATTTTAATTCCTAATGTTGACCTATTTCCCTCCATCACCCTTTATTTTAATATATTTCCGTAGAATTCACATTATAACTATAATCCAGTGTGTTCTAAGCCAACACGTTTTTGCATCATGAGAAGCTTCACAGCCCAAAGGGAGAAAGAAAGGGAACAAAACAAAAAGAATTAAATAAAATATCCTTCTTTGACTGCATAACCTTATTCAGTTTACTTGTCAAACATTGAATGACAAAAATAACAATCCTAATATGAAAAATTTTCCACAACCACTTTGAATCTTTTGCAGGCTGGCACTAATAAAATAGTAAGTAGATTTACATCTTCTTTTATATAAAAACTTAAGGGAATCAAATCAATTCTACTGAAGACTAATGTCAACCACACAACACTTTCAAGAAAGACCTTTACTCATGTTTTAGTATTAAAATCTTATGCCCATTACTTTCCACCACCGTTTTTCTTTCCCTCAGCTCAAAGTTGATACCTTATCTTGAAAAAGATAAAGTGGGGATTTTTCTCCCTCATTAGTTGGTCTAATTCAAAATCTAATGATGGTATATTCAAACTCAAGCTTGTGATGCCTAAAGAAAATTATGGGAAGAAAAGAAGTTGACTCTCTCTAAAAAGTGTATTTAGCACGTTCTCATCCATCTCTTAGCATCTAGAATCTGATATTCCTTTATTTCTGTTATTTTAGTACCTTTTAATATGTACCTGCTATTACAAGGACCTTTTTACCCAGAAAGCTATGTGATATAAGGGTGCGTTTAGTTACGGTGGAAAATAGTAATGAGAATGAGAATGAAAATGGTAATGAGAATGAAAATGAAAATGGTAATGGGAATGGAATGAAAAAAAAAAAAGTTGATTAATTTGTTTGGTTGTAATTTTAAGAATTCTCTAGAATGGAACAAGAATATTTTTATGTTGACAAACTTACCCTTATGCTATATATAACACTAATATTTTATCTATCAATATAATATATAAAATGTAATATAATATAATAAAATTATTATTATATAATATATTATATAATTATGATATATAATATAACAATATTATTATAATTAT